CCAATAACTCCCGGTCCAGTTGTCCCAAGGCACTAGGTTTGAAGAAACCCCTACTGATTTACTAACTCGAGTTACTCAACTACGATACATTAAACACCACACGTACATTTATGGGTTCTGATCTTTTTTTTTTCTTTTTTTTTTTTTATCCCATACATTGGTACGCAGAGCCTTTAATATGAAACATTAATTAGAATAAAACACTGCCACACTGATAATCCACTTTACACATGCATTGCTCTACTAATCCAAGAGAAGGTAAACATCTGGGTTAATTTTTTCAGATCAATGGTATTTGAATTAGATAACCAGAAAAATAGGTCAATAAGGCTCAAATTGTTTGATTAGTGGATCATGTAAGCTTTTTGGCTATTTTGGTGCAAATGCCTTTATGCCTAAATCATTTCATTCTTATTACAACACTACAACGTTGACTTCCATCAGCTTGTAATTGTTCAAAGAGCCATGTTTTTTTTTTTTTTAAAAAAAAAAAAAAAAAAATCTGCATATATACAAGCCTATAAGCCAAAGTTAAGCATAGTAGAGTGAATATTGTTAAGAACATAAGCAAAGCACTGTCGACACAGACTGCCAGACTCAATACCATACCAAACATAACTCACTCCCCCCCCCCCCAAGTTTAAGTCACACATTGCCCTAGTTGTCATAATTTGGAACTTCTAGCTCCATCACTTCAACGTTTTGGACCTGATGACCCTCATAGTACGGCTTGAGTCGATGGCCGTTCACCTTGAATTCCTTCCCCGTATCTTCACTGCGAATCTCCACTGCACCATGCTCATACACCTTTGTGACAACAAATGGTCCCACCCATCGAGAACGGAGTTTACCAGGAAATAGTTTGAGCCGAGAATGGTACAAGAGAACTTTCTGCCCCACTGTAAATGTCTTTCGTGTTATGCGCTCATCATGGAATGCCTTGGTCTTCTCCTTGTAAATTCTCGCATTCTCGAAAGCATCATTTCGGATTTCCTCAAGTTCTTGCAATTGAAGTTTCCTGTGCTCCCCCGCTGCATCCATTTCCATATTGCATTGTTTCACGGCCCAAAAGGCTTTGTGTTCCAATTCTACTGGCAGATGGCAAGGTTTACCAAACACAAGCCTGTAAGGAGACATCCCGATCGGAGTTTTATACGCTGTTCTGTATGCCCACAGAGCATCGTTGAGGCGGAGACTCCAATCTTTCCTGTTTGGATTCACAGTCTTCTCTAGAATGGACTTGATTTCTCGATTGGAGACTTCTGCCTGTCCATTTGTTTGTGGGTGATATGCAGTGGACACTCGATGAAACACATTATACTTCTTCAAGAGAGCTCCTATTGTCTTATTGCAAAAGTGTGTCCCCTTGTCATTGATGATGGCTCTTGGGAATCCGTATCTAGCAAAAATATTTGATTTCAAAAATTCTGCAACAACTTTAGAATCATCAGTACGGGTGGCTATATCTTCCACCCATTTCGAGACATAATCGGCAGCAAGCAAAATATATTGAAAACCGAAAGAAGAGGGGAAGGGACCCATAAAATCCATACCCCAAACGTCGAAGATTTCACATATTAAGATAGGATTTTGGGGCATTTCATTCCTAGGACCTAGTGTACCTGTTCTTTGACAACTATCACATGCCTTACAGATTTCATATGCATCTTTAAATATGGATGGCCAGTAGAATCCACTCTCTAAAACCTTGCGTGCGGTTCTCTTTGGTCCAAAATGTCCCCCACATGCATAAGAATGGCAGAAAGTTAGTATAGACAGAATTTAAGAATCGGGTACGCACCTTCTGATTAGTTGATCAGCACAGTATTTCCAGAGGTATGGGTCATCCCATATGTAGTATTTTGCTATACTACGCATCCGGTCCTTTTGTGCCTTGGTGTAGCTGGCTGGAAACTTCCCAGATGCTAGAAAATTCACCAAATCAGCATACCACGGAGTTCCTGAGTTCAAGGCATGAAGTTGCTCATCGGGGAACTCTTCATTGATTGGGGCGTGACCTTCATCAGCTTCAATAACTAACCTGCTCAAGTGATCAGCAACACTATTGTCAGAACCTTTTTTATCTTTTATTTCAACATTAAATTGTTGAAGCAATAAAATCCAACGTATTAGCCTAGGTTTGGATACATCCTTTGACCATAAATATTTCAGCGCTGCATGATCAGTAAACACAATAATTTTAGTACCCAATAAATAAGACCTGAATTTGTCTAAAGCATAAACTACAGCTAAAAGTTCTTTCTCGGTTGTAGTATAATTAGCTTGAGCTGCATCCAAAGTCCTTGAGGCATAGTAGATGGCATGGGGAACTTTTCCAACTCGCTGGCCTAGCACTGCCCCTACAGCATAGTTAGAAGCGTCGCACATCAGCTCGAATGGGAGCTCCCAGTTAGGAGGTTGTAGAACAGGGGCAGTGACCAACTTGTCTTTCAGCTTGTCAAATGCCTGCTTACAGGCCTCATCAAAGTGGAACTCCACATCCTTTTGGAGTAGTTTGCATAGTGGTTGCGCAATCTTCGAGAATCCTTCGATAAACCTGCGATAGAACCCTGCATGGCCAAGAAAAGATCGAACTTCCCGCACAGAGGTGGGGTAAGGCAGAGAAGAAATAAGATCTATTTTAGCTTTATCAACTTTATTCCTTCAGACGACACAATATGGCCTAAAACTATACCTTGTTGAACCATGAAATGACATTTTTCAGAATTAAGCACAAGGTTAGTTTCAAGACAACGTTTAAGGACCAAAGTGAGGTGTTCTAAGCATCTATCAAAAGAATCTCCATGTACAGTGAAATCATCCATGAAAACTTCTATGAAATTTTCAAAGTAATCTGAAAAGATGCTTACCATACATCTCTGAAAAGTCGTTGGAGCATTGCACAGTCCAAATGGCATACGACGATACGCAAACGTGCCGTACGGGCATGTGAACGTCGTTTTTTCTTCATCCTCCGGAGTTATAGGGACCTGCACATAACCTGAAAAACCGTCAAGAAAACAGTAATAAGCATGACCAGCAAGACGTTCTACCATTTGATCAATAAATGGTAAGGGAAAATGATCTTTTCGAGTCAAAGAATTGAGTTTTCTGTAATCTACACAAACTCTCCACCCATTCTGTACTCGGGTGGGAACCATTTCTCCCTTATCGTTTTCCACCACTGTGACTCCTGACTTTTTTGGGACCACTTGCAAGGGACTGACCCATGGGCTATCTGATATAGGGTATATCACCCCTACTTCAAGAAGCTTCATTACTTCTTTCTTCACCACTTCCATCATAGGTGGATTAAGTCGTCGCTGCACTTGTCTCACGGGTTTAGCTCCCTCTTCTAATAAGATTCTATGCTGACACATAGAGGGGCTAATTCCTTTTATATCAGCAACTGTCCACCCTAGAGTTGTTTTATGTTCCTTCAGAACTTGCACCAGCTTTTGCTCTTGATTCGGAGTTAGATTACTCGCGATTATGACTGGCAAAGTGTCATTTTCTCCCAAAAATGCATACTTGAGATGGTCTGGCAGTGGCTTTAGTTCCACTTCAGGGGCTTGTACAATAGAAGGTAACAATCTGTTAGAAGTGACAGGTAACTGCATAAACCGTTTGTCATACCTTAATTGCTTATCAGGAAGTATTTCCAGAGAGGAAAAAGCTTCCTTAACTTCCCCCTTAAGCTCAAAATGTTCCTGCAAGTCAGTATACTTTTCTTTTTCCATAGGCGCAGTCAAAACAACATCTAACCCATCATGACCAGAGAGAAAGAATACCTGCTCAGTTAGTGCATCAATGACATCTATACTAGAAACAGATTCACAATCAGAGGGATATCTCATGGCATCAAATAAATTAAACCGGATAACCTCCCCATCGAATTCCATGGTCAACACCCCACTGTGAACATCAATTTTAGTTCTAGATGTTTTCAGAAAAGGTCTTCCTAATAAGATAGGTGCTGCACTAGGGGATTCATCATTTGGCATATCTAAAACATAAAAATCAGCAGGAAATACCAGTTCATTCACTTGCACTAAAACATCCTCAACTACTCCTACAGGGTATGTATTAGAACGGTCAGCAAGATGAATAATCACTCGAGTGTCTTTCAAAGGTCCTAAGTTCAGAGCTTTATAGATATATAAAGGCATGACATTAATAGAAGCTCCTAAATCTAGCATGTATTTATCGTATCTCGTGTTACCTATTTTACATGGTATAGTAAAAATACCTGGATCCTTGCACTTTGGAGGAACTTTCCTCTGTAAAACAGCAGACACATTCTCACTTACACTGACTTTTTCATCTCCACTCAATCTCCTCTTGTTAGTGCATAACTCCTTCAAAAACTTTGCATACCGCGACACTTGTCTTATAGCTTCCAGTAAAGGTATGTTTACCTCAACCTTGCGAAAAATGTCCAGGGTCTCTTTCTCCTTTTCTTGCTCTCTCTTCGTATTCTTAGATGATAACCTGCTAGGAAATGGAACAGAAGAATTAAACTGATCAGTATTAGGAGAAATAACATCTCTTACCTTAGTGGGCTGCTTATCTTGCTCTGGAACAATAGTCTCTTGTTCCTCTTGGTGTGCTGCCAGCCTTTCAGTCTTTTTCGCTGGAACCTCTTATTGCTTGCCACTTCTAAGGGAGATTGCACTCGCATTCTCCTTTGGATTTCTCACTGGCTGACTCGGAAGCTTGTTAGAGTTCTGAGCTTGGAGCTTTCCCACTGTGTTAGCTAACTGAGAAACTTGGTTCTCCAAGTTCTTTAGACCACTTCATGTCTCTTGCTGGAAATGCAAAGTGTTGTCAGCCATTGCCTTCACAATATCTTCCAGAGACATGCTACCAGATTGTGGCTGGGAAACTTGTTGATTTTGAGGTCGCGGCTGATATTGTGGTTGCTGATGAAACCCAGGTGGAGGATTAGAAGCTTGCTGTTGCTGGAAAGCTGGTGGTCTGAGGTTAGAGTTGACTGCCTACTACTGAGCATTACCATATCTCAGATTTGTATGATCTCTCCACCCCGGATTATAAGTCTGAGAGAATGGATCATAACGTCTTTGCTGCCCCTGACCACCACCAATCGAATTCACTTCTTCTTCTTGCAGAGTAGGACACATATCAGTTGGGTGTCCTACCATTGAACAAAGGCCACATACTTTTTCTTGCCCTTTTTCGATCATTACTCGCTCCACTAAGGAAGTGAGTTTAGCTACTTGTTGCTCGAGGTTAGAACTCACCACTTCATTAACTTGACGTATAGAGGTGGACGTGATATTTCGACCTCCTCGATACTGAGAGTTTGCAGCCATGTTTGCAATCAGTTTCTTTGCCTCTGCGGGTGTTTTGTCAACCAGTGCTCCACCACTTGCTGCATCAACTAGATTCCTGTCTGTCTCTCTGAGTCCTTCGTAAAAGTAATGTATTAATAATTGCTCACTGATCTGATGGTTTGGGCAACTATCACATAGTTTCTTGAAACGCTCCCAGTACTCATGAAGTGTCTCTGCATCGTCTTGTCGAATTCCACATATTTCTTTCCTGATATTGGCTATCAAAGATGCTGGAAAATATCTTTCTGCGAATACTTTTAGCATTTGATCCCATGTTGTGATGGTTCCAGCAGGTACTTCAAATAACCACTCCTTGGCAGCATCAGACAAGGCAAAAGGAAATGCCTTTAACTTGAGCTGGTCGAGGGTGACACCAGCCGGTTTCATCCCCGCACATGCTATGTGAAATTCCTTCAAAAATCTGCTAGCCTCATTCATGTGAACTGAACCCAAGGAGTTAGTATTACGGAAACCTGAAAATGTGGGAAGAGCTCTAATCAACCCCGGCTTGATCTCAATTTCTGCCTCATCGTCTACTATGCACAATAAATTTGGATCAAACGTTGGAGCTGCAAGCTGCTTAGTGTTTGATCACCCATCTCAAAAATATATTCACCCTCCTCGTCCGAAGATGAACTTTCACTGTGCGGTAACGGAATATGACGAGCTTGCTCTAGTATATGAGCACGAGTCCTTTTAGCTACAGGAAGAGTAGAAAAAGGATGAATTATAAGTCCCTGGTTCCTTGGCGCAAAATTTCTCAATCTTTGATGTTTCAAATTTCTGTCACACATACAAGAACAAGGAACTAGGTGACAAGTTAGTAAGAACAGTTAGAAAAACACAAGAAATAATAAAATAAAGCGCCAATTCCCCGGCAACGGCGCCAAAATTTGGTACGACTGTCGCGTGTCTACCAAATATAAACCTAACTAAAACTTCCTAAAATGTAGTAGGGTAAGCTAGGGTCGATCCCACAGAGAATTGGATTATCAAATTATTACTTGTGTAAGTTAGAAACCCCTGTTTTGAAGAAACAATGATATGATCTAATAAATAAACTACTAACTAGATAACAAATAAAGCACGGAGAAGTAAACTAATAAAAATTAAAATACGATAAAATCAAAAATAATGAAATAGGGAATCGGGAGATGTATTATAGCATTGGAGTATCAATTATTGCTCATCGAATTATACGAATTACATTTATATCTTAATGTTAACCAAGGAACACAAACAAGCATTCAAAACTTCCCTTAATTGCATATATACCAAACGAGCTCTCGGAATATTGTCTAACTAACTAATAATCTAGAACAAGCTCTCTAGACTCGATTAATTAGCCGCATTAATAACAAGGAAGTAGTTAACTTAAGCCACGAGTCTCACAAGCTCGGACTTGTGCAACTCAAAGGGTTGATAATCTTAGATATCGGACAAGTTTCAGTCACCTATCAAATACCTAAGTGCTACTAAGGAATACTAACCCGGACAATTACGTATCACACGGTAGTACTCTAGCAATTAAACTAACAAATTATACTAAAGATGGCCGGTCTAAAATATAATTCGACTAGTTCATATCAATAAACCAAATTATCAATTCAATCAAGACATAAACATAATACCCAATAATTATAACAATTCTATTCTCACAATACAATAATCCAATGCATAATTTATCTCCCTACCCTTATTTAATCTAGCCTGACATACTAATAGTATAGAATAGAAAAGGAGAAATCATGAAATACATAATATAGCTAATTAACAAAGCTTAATCAATAATGAAACTTATCAAACAAAACTAATTATCCAAACTCCAATACCAACTACAAAACTAGTGCATATAAATAGTAATAAGCAAAATTGTAATACCACTAAAAGTAGACAAGGTACTGACAAAGTGACAATTAGATTCACTTAGCTAATTCCACGAAGAGAACAAATTTAGTGCTATTAATTGTTCTTCACCCTTGTTTCAGTCCTTCAATTGCAGTAGGTACTGGTTGTCTCCTCTGATGTACTGCCACCCACAAAACTTAGACCCCCCAAAAAAACCACCTATCCGAATTTTTCGCCCCCATAATTAACTGATTTCATCCCTATCATCTATTTTTTGATGATCTGTTACCCGCGAGAATCGGTCAAGATTTCCTATAGCAGCTTCCTAGAGAAGATGAACGTGTTTTCCTCTTTTGGGGTTTCTCTGCTTCTTTTAGGGCTGCTGGACATCAAGTCTCTCTTGATGGGCTTCACTTACATCATTAACTTTGGGCTTGATACAAATATGAGTAATCCCAATTTGTGGGGTTTCGTTTCCTTGAATCCCGAGCAGCAATTGAATCCATTTTGATGTCAAAATTCTCTTTCCTATAAACAACTAAATAAAATAGTAGTAACTCGTGTCTATGGAAGAATATTAAATAAAACACCCTTAAACAATGAAATTTTAATTATAATATCAAGAGCTTAATAAATGTAATATCATACTTTTATGACCCTATCAATAAGGTTGTCATGCTTGATGATTCTCAGTGTGAGCTATTGTTTCTTAGGGCTTGTAGCGGAGTTTCTAAACTCTACTTTGCATTGCGTACTTGTCCCCCTATTACTTTTGAGACGGCTGAGCGTACATTCGACAGGGCTATTCGATCTTCCTTGGAGCGTATTGTTACTGCTTTGGGGCCTGGGTTTGGCGATTGGCAATGGTGGATTACTATCTTACCATTAGCGTTTGAAGGGCTTGGGGTATATTCCGCATGTGATGTTCGTCATTATGCTTTTCTTGCTTCTCGGTTACAGTATGATAGGTTGCAAACACAGCGTTTACGACATGCTGGCATTGTTGGTCTTTGACGAGCCTTTGAAGATGCGTTGAGTCTGTTTAATGGAATAGTGGGGTCTGACATTATGAGTAATCCTAGTGAGGTTGCTGCCCCTAAACTCATGAAGATATTGGCAGATATATATTTCACAAAGGTTACCGCTTCTGCAGAATCCGCCTATTCTTTGTCTCCTCGGCAATCAGCATTGTGGAAATCGTAGCAGGGACATCACACCTCTGCTTGGCTTCAGGCAGTCCCTATTTCTGGGTTGGGTCAGACGATGAACGCAAAGACCTACCGATGTGTGTTGTGCTACCGGATGGGTGTTCCATTGTTCTCTATCTCGGCGCCGTGGTCTGCTTATTCTCGGGTTTTTACTGGTAATATTTTTTGTGATCACGCAGTGTCGTGTGCTGGTATTGTGGGTATTAAACATCGGCATAATGTTGTCCAGGATACCCTTGTTTATATTTGCTACAGATCTGGGATTTCGGCAAGAAAGGAGGTTGACATAGGGTTGTATGGAGGAAATGAAGAGCCCCTCAAACCTGCAGATGTGTTACTTTATTCCTGGGATCGTGGTCGCGATGTATGTGTGGACTTAACAGGGTCTTCTCCAATGACACAGACAGGGCTATCTAATTTTGTTCTTGTACGGGTTGTGGTTGATGCGACTCGTCGAAAGCGGATGAAGTATGAAGCTAGTTGTCGGCTGATTGGATATGGTTTCATTCCCTCCTCCTTTTCTTCGCTTGGGGAATTAGAGAAGGAGGCTATTGCGTTGCTAAAGCGGGTTCAGAAATTCTCGGCGACGCAAGACATTGGGGCTCGTGTTGCAGCTCACATCTTCACTAGGGTAGGCTTTGCAATAGCCAGAGGAGTGGGGGCCCAGATTGTATCTCGGCTTCCCACTAATTTATTGTAGGTTATATGACTTTATCTGTTTTTGAGATAATAATAATAAAAATAATAATAATAAAAATAAATAAATAAATAATAATAATAATAATAATAATTGCTTGCTCTAGGGTTTTTGATGGGGATATATATGGGGATCATGCAGTGTCTTGTGCTGGGATGGTGGGTATTAAACATCGGCACAACGTTGTTCGTGATACTCTTGTGGACATTTGTTTCCGCTCTGGGATTTCTGCAAGGAAGTAGGTTAACGTTGGGTTGACTGGAGGGAACGATGGGGCTCTTCGACCAGTAGATGTGTTGCTTTATTCCTGGGATAGAGGTCTTGATGTCTGCGTTGACTTGACGGGGTCTTCTCCTTTGACTCAATCTGGGTTGTCTGACTTTGTTCCTGGTCGTGTTGTGTCGGCTGCAGCTCAACGGAAGCGGGACAAGTATGGAGAGCGTTGCAGGGCAATTGGCTATGGTTTTATTCCTTTCTCCTTTTCTTCATTGGGGGAATTAGAGAAGGATGTTGTTGCGTTGCTGAAGCGGGTTCAGGCGTTTGCGAGGACTCAAGATATTGGTGCTAGTGCAACTGCTCATATCTTCAACAGGATCGGGTTCGCTATAGCTAGAGGGGTGGGGGTCCAGATTGTATCTCGGCTCCCCACTAATTACTTATAATTCTATTGACCTTTTTAGGTTTTTGTTATTTTTCTATAATAATAATAATAATAATAATAATAATAATAATAATAATAATAATAATAATAAAATAATAATAATAATAATATTATAATAATAAAAATAATAATAATAAAATAATAATAATAATAATAATAATAATAATAATAATAATAATAATAATAATAATAATAATAATAATAATAATAATACCTCTCGTTTAGGCGACTAGGGTAGGGTTGGGTTGGGTTCCACGACGTTAATTTTTAGGCGATTAGGGGTGCTTTTCCGGCGAGATCAAGACCTCGGTGGTTGTGCATTTAGGTCTAGTATTGAAGGGCGTTTTTAAGGCTTTTATCGGCGGTTTTCAGGCGACTTTCCAATGGTTTCCTGGTGACTGTTTGTACGGTCAGATTGCCTTCGTTTTATCGACTGTTTGCAGGCGTTTTGTGGTCATGTTTTGTGGCTATTTGCAGGCGTTTTGTGGACGTGTTTTGTGTTCGTGTTTTGGGCTGTTTTACAGGCGTTTTGTGGTCGTTTTCCGGCTGTTTGCAGGCTGTTTTCAGCCACCATTTCAACCGGTTTTCTGGTCAATTTCCAGGCTTTTTCCGGTCGCATTGCAAGCGACGTTAGGGGGCTGTTTTTGGGCGTTCTTGTGGCAGCTTGCAGGCTGATTTTCCAACGCTATTTGGTCCGGCGACGACCTTTGTTCTCTACCGTTACACCAGCGGATTTCTGCCGTTTTTTGGGTGTAATTACAGGCGGCTTTGTTGCAGTTTATGGGGTTGGTTTTGGTGTTGTTTTGGCGTTATTGAAGGGTTGTTTTGGGTGCTTTGTTGCTTGTTGTTTTGGGTGATTTGTTGCTTGCTATTTTGGGTTGCTTTGTATTGGTTTTTGTTGGTGTTTCAAGGTGTTTTCGCTAGTGGTTTTTGGTGGTGGTTGTGTGTAGCTATGTTGGCTACTCGGGTGAAGTTTCGTTGCCCCTTTGTGGGTCTTAGTGGTTGTCAAGATGGAAGTGGCAAT